TTGAAACCCTGCATGCCGAGTTCTGTAAGAGTATCCTGGGAGTACAGAGGAACACACCGAACAACGCATGCAGGGCAGAGTTAGGCCAATACCCTCTGCTAATACATGTTTCCAAAATGTGATGATTCGTTTTTGAACATCTAAAGATGAAGTGACCCCAACTCTTATCATTTTAAAGCCCTTAAAACCCATGAGATGAACCCTGAGAAGAGCCGGCTCCTTCAGCTGGTCCTGCGGCTCCACACACACCACTGACACCACTAACCTACTCCGCGCTCAGGACACGGACACGCCTCACACACAATTCCGGCCCCAAAAACATCATACAAGCACAACGAGAGAATTACCTGACCTCCTGGACTAAAACTACAGAGAAACAAAGTAAACTTGAATGTTATTTGGCCCTAAAATAGAGACTACACCACCGCAGAATAGGAAGGATGACGAGGTACAGACTGAATCAATCACACACTGACTGTAGAGACGGGCCGACACAGACAGAACTGGCGACCCAGAGAGAGACGCGTCTGCCCGTACTGTGAGCAGGGAGAAGTGGAGACCGAGCAACACTTCTCCCAGCTGCCCCCAACTATGAGGACATTAGAGGGACTTTTTACAACAAAATTTGAAATACTTTGCCCTAACTTCATGCAATTAATAACAAACACCAATATATTAGGTAAAAAAAGAGATTGTATCCCACTAGCAGCCAGATACATTGATGCTTGTCACAAAAAGAGAGAGTCGACGACCAAATCAGTGATTGCGCCAACAACACACACACACACCCGTACAAACACACACTCATACGCATTGTTTTTCTAAATTCTTCACAGAATTTTTAAATGTTCATAAACTGTTCTATTTTTTTCTATTTTATTTATTTTACACTGTTAATTAGCCTTTCGCCGAGCCCCGCCCCCCTTAGTTACTGCTGCTACCTCCGTCAAACAAATGGTCAAACACGGGCAGCGCGACAGATTGCCATGACGGCAAAGGGTATTCCCGTGCGTGTCGGTGACCTTTTTTGGAGCAATACCTCCGCGATATCAAGCAAGATCGAAGCAAAAGGGGTTACGGTATGCGGTGGAGGAATTTATTCCAAATATAAAATTAAGAAATGAATGAGACACGACTACTATTGATGCTAATGCTTACCAGTCTCAAGAAAAATCAGAAAAACCCCATGACCATGCTAAGTTACCTCAAATGCAACCAGCAGCCTTGAAGATTTTATAAACTGGTTCAGTGGCTAATTGGAGTTCGAAATATATAACTTGCGCTGCATATTTATTCATTTTGCCTCCGATACAGGAGTAGCACGTTCGCTTTAACAAGCAGGTTGTTCATTACCACAGCAACCGATTGCGTGTCATGCTCATGCTGAATGCGATTTTCGTGTTTAAAAAGTAACTAACGTTATGCATAAGAGACGGAAAAGAGGCAGAGAACCATACGTTATTTAAGGTTATTTCTATTCGTTACGATATTGATATATGAACTGATGTTGTCATGTAAGCTTCATGCTTTCCCGCGTTGCGAACGTCCTCTAAAACTGTAGTCTACGGTGCTGCACTGCTAACTTAGCTGACTGCTGCTCATTTCCCAGAGAATATCATGGTATGTTAACAACAACCCTTTAGAAAATGTACAGTAAGTCCTATGTGGATCCTCTTGATCTGCTTTCTCCGTGCTTCTTTGACTAATCTCAGTCGCACGCACGCTGCACGCGAGACGAGTTAACCATGTTCGACACATTTAACTGGATTGGGGCGTCCACACTGTTTAAATACATCTTGGCACCGCTCGCGTTGTGTTTTGGGCTTTGGAAAGGGAAAAAACACAACTTCTCCAGACAATCTCTCGGGGTATCATGTGTCCGATTTACTAACGCCGTGGGCGCACCGCTTACTGTTTGACGGAACAGCTCACACAGTAACGGTTGCTATGATGTGTGATTGGACAATGCCCATTTTGTGGGAGGGGCCGGCAAAAGGTCAATTTGTACATTTAGATGTTACAATGCTATATTATTTTACTATTTCGATGTCTTTATAATTATTCTATGTATTCCAAGCTTTGGCAATATTGTATGATGTACAGTCATGCAAATAAAGCAATTTTGAATTGAATTGAATTGAGAGAGAGAGAGAGAGAGAGAGAGAGAGAAAGAGGGGGGGGGGGATTTACATCACAAACAAATGTAAAAGTATTTTAGGGAGATTTAAAGTAGGAGGAAAAGCAAGAGAGAGAGAGAGAGAGATAGAAATAATTTGAGAAAGTGATGCAGAACTGCACAGCTGGTGATTCATCAGAAGAAATACAAAGGGCGAGACGCACGTCTTGGTTGCCCATATCCCAGTACGGTCTCTCTCCGAAGGACATGACTTCCCACATGACGATCCCGAAGCTCCAGACGTCGGAAGCGGAGCTGTAACGGTGATACTGGATGGCCTCCGGAGCCGTCCACAGAACCAAGCTCTTCCCCGCGTGCTGGAACACAAGGGAAGGAAATGTTGATCCGGAAACACATCCAAATATAAACACAGGAAAGCGATCTCCTGGAGTGTGTGTGTTGTGTGTATTACGCTGTACTGAATCCTGACTTCTGCATTCATTTTAACATAACAGAAGCATGAAGCACTGAGGCGTTCTTAAAATACACTACAAACTTGCAAGAACCCGCATGAAAGTTTGATGAACTCTATGAGAGCTGTGCTTTGACTTTCAGAGGAATGTGCTGACTCGCGTCAGGAAGCGTTTGAGAGTGCAGTGTTGCATTATGGTAAAACACTCACCAGTGTGCTGTAGACCGCCTCGATCTTGTCGTCCTGAAGCGGTCTGAAGCCGGACACTTTGCAATCCAGACTGCTGTTCACCAAGACTTTATGAGCGGCCAGTCGGCGATGGATAAAACCCATCTCTGTCAGATACTTCATCCCAGACGCCACTCCACTCAGCAGATCCACCAGCTGGAGGACCGTCAGCTGACCCTCATGAGTCTGAGACGAGGACGGAGGGAAGAGAGGAGACAGAAGGACAAGAAAAAGGAAAAAGTCACCTTCATTTTTATAGCACTGTTTTACAGAGCAGCTTTACAGAGATAACAGGACAAGACAATGGCGTCACACAGTTCAGCTTAAGTGAGTTCAGTGATGCTTCATTTTTGCTGTAAAAAAGTTCATTTATAAATATATATAGCCGCTATCATCGTCCACTCAGTTCAGTTCTCGTATAATGGAGTCAATGCAGCAGATCAATAATATTGTTGAATATTAAAGGTGCATTGCGCAACATGTCATGTTAAAAATAGCCGTTTTCTTGCCGTTTATGTCTTGCAGGTAGTGTATTCGCCGCCATTCTCCGTATCAGAGAAGACAACTCGAGCGACACAACTTCAGTCAACTTTCCACAAAAGTAGACGATGGATTCAAAGGAGCTGTTTAGCCTACACCTGGTCACTTCATGCGTTTTCTGTGATCGGATAGCTTAGCTATTCGATCGTGAAAAGACCAGGTTGCCCTCCGAAATGCATTTGAGACGGATTTGAATCCGATCGCTCAAATCACTTGAGGACGTGGTCTGGGCCGCATTCCAGACAAAACTGGACAAGTGTAAATGCATCTGGTTGTTGAAAACAGGCTATTGGTTATGTCTTGTTATTTTAGTCATATATGACGAAGCGCATCACCTCAGATGAGCAGCTGAGCGTCTATTCATAAAGCCAGCGCGCCGCAATCTATCGCAAATCAAAGTGAAAGTAAGTCGCAGACGCTTAACACTACCATCTTCATTAAAAGTAAAGAAATGAAATGATCTTACCAGGCAACCAGGGCTGTTGCCGATCTCTCTTATTGCCGTCTTTGCTGATTTTGAAATTAGCCGATGATTAATAAAATGCAGCTCATATCTGTTGCTTTCGGTGACGTGCATTTCATGAATTCTGTAGCCTAACGTTATATAGCGCCGGAATTGAAGATCAGATTATATCCGTTTTGCAAAAACACATTTATGTGACCAGGTGTAATGAAATCGATCTGAGAAAATGCATTGTGGCCAGGTGTAAACAGCCCCAAAGAGACCGGCTTGTAGTTCATTCCAAACCCCACGTGAGACAAAGACAATACAACTTCTGTCTGTCCAGTGCCAGGCGCAACATCGGGAAGGCTTTCAACAAACGGAGAGATCTCCGGTCTGCTCTAGGGCTCAAACGGGTCCTATACAAAGTAATAAATTATATTGTTCATGAACGTGTTTCCATAATTATACAATCATACGTGGATACAGTAAGCACATAAAACAGAGTTAGATGGAAACAAAAAACGAAGTTTTCTACTACCCCTGTTTTCCCCTCACACACACATAAGTGTGTACTCGAATGCCTTTCCTTTCATATATTTTAAATGACCTGCAGATTTATAACTGTATTACCTCATTATGACTGTAACAAAAGATGTGTGCCGCACAGTGTGCGGCTGATGCTCCTTTGGTTATGAACAGCTCGTGCAAACGTACGTGTATGTGTGTGTGAGCGCGCACGCAGTTTCACTTGTCGCCAGAGGGGGCGTAGTTCTGCAAAAACTCAGATACTTGCGTTTAGCTCCTTCAAATTAAATGTAAAGTAAATGCAAAGAAAAAAATAGGGCAAGCAAATGAGAGAGAAAGAGAAAGGGAAAGTAATAAAAAAAGTAAAGGACATTTGAGAGGAAATGAAGGGGAAAGAAAATGAATGGAAAATTCGGAGAGGAAAGAAAAGGAAAGATAAGGAAAAGAATTGCACATTGGAAAGGAAATGAAAGGGAAAAGAAAGAAAAATGGAAAGAAAAAACAAAAACTGTTCAGAATTGAAGCCCTCAAATATTTATGAGATCTTAGAAGAAATAAATAATTTCACATCTTTTGATGAATTTCACTTCGTCTGACGAGATGTTGTGCAATGCTTAACTTGACTCTCGTTGTTTTCTTTTCATCATTAAATCACATCTGCACGTTTTTTTTATGTAACTTCCATATTTCACAAGTAACATTTACTGTACTATTGCAGCATTTTACATCTGACGACTCAGAATATTAAAGTCAGCAGAACAAGCGGAGACAGAAACACAGTTCCGTACCCGCAGGAAAGCGTCGAGGGCTCCGTTGACCGCGCTCTCCACCACGATCATCATAGTGTTGCCTGCAGCAAACACACACACACACACACACACACACACACATATGAAGACCTTCAGATCATGTGTTTGATTAATGCATCATAGTGTTGGGAGAGGACGGAATGGGGTTGAGTGGAAAAAAATCACTTTCATTAAAGTCTGAGTGTTATGTAAGAGATAAAGACAGACATCGTGCAGAAATGGATTGATATTTAGAATGATGGAACAATAGATGAATAGAACCTTACAGAAATAGAACAAAAACTATTGACTGATAGATAGATAGATAGATAGATAGATAGATAGATAGATAGATAGATAGATAGATAGATAGATCACAATTATCCTATCAGAATGAAGTATTCCAGATGTCTGTCATGTCTGTATTCCCAGCGAGTAATAGAAAGAGAAAGATGAGGGAAGTACGCTTCATTAGGGAGGCGGGCAGCAGTAAATCCCCAGGTGTTACAGAGAGAGAGAGAGAGAGAGAGAGAGATCCCCCAATCATGTATTCCGACACCTACAATCTGGAGAATTCAACACTGGCTCAATGAACAGGAGGCTTCGCTATCAGTCAGCTCAATCTACGGCCTCCTGCTCCATCACCCCATCAGAACACCTCCTCCTCCTCCTCCATCACCCCATCAGTCCTCCTCCATCACCCCATCAAAACACCACCTGCTGGGCCCCGAGCGCTGGGGCCGACCCGAGCCGTGATCTGCCGCTGATGGGGAGGAGACTGGCTTTCAGGAGATTTGCAGGTGGAGATGGAGAATTTCGAGTCGTTAAGGGCCTGCTGTGATTAGGACATCAATTATTCTAGTGTGAGCATCTGCTGTAGCACTCACCACACACACACACACACACTTAAAAAGGCCAATTTAATACCAAAATCTCAATTCATTATTCTCTCCAAAATGCCTCAGCGTCTTACTCTCCACTTAAAACAACAATTAAAACACTAGTACTACACACACTCCAGCTTCCACACCGCAACGCTCTTCACTGATAAACACTACGAGTTAAACTGGAGGCTAATTCTGAAGAATAATGCCAGTGATTCTCTCTAACACACAATCTCTTCAGTTCAGTCATGTTCTGCATGTGGAATCAATGTGAATAATTCCTTCAGCACACACACAGAGTCCCAGATTAATATCAGTTCTTTAATTCAGCGAATCTGCTCGAGGTGTTCCCTCGCTCCAAACCTTCATCATCCCTCTTCCCCTTCGGCAGGAACACACTCTCACATCTATCAGCTTTATCTCCAGGAGCTTCCCATCGATCAGTCTAAGGATGGATGTGGGATTCGGGATCTCCAGTCCTGATAACATCTCTTCATTCTCCTCTGACGCTCATCCATCCTTGAACTATCGACCCTCTTCTCCCTTTCTATTCTGGCACTTTTATTCCGGACTGGCCCATTTATTCAGGGATCCACTTCCCAATAAACCATCCAATCAAAGGCTTATCATTCTCTTTTCCATTACAGCAACGGGACACGCGCCTCATCCCTCCTTTATTCCTTTTCAATGGAAGGACGTCCCATCTATTCCGTCCCGAATCTCTTTCAGGAGAGAGCCATCAAATCCCTAATTCCCCTCGTTTTTTGTCTTCCCCTATCCTGTGAGGAACATCCCGATCACTCTTTCCACACATCTCTCTTTTCTTCACAGTCTCTCTGTCTCTACCATAGACTGTAAAAAAGATGGACGCCCCTTCACTCGCTTCCATTGGTGAAAAGTCCTAATAAGACGCTTGGCTTCACTGGGTCTCAACTGATACATCTCTCTTTTCTTCCCATGTCTCGCCTCGACTGACCTCTGGTGATGACTCCCTCCAGACGCACGATGTTGGCGTGGTCGAACTGTCCCAGAATGCCCGCCTCGCTGAGGAAGGAGCGCCTCTGTTTGTCCGAGCATCCGGAGCGGAGCGTCTTTATGGCCACGGGAAGCTCGCGTTTGCTGGGAAGCTTCAGGCAGCCACGACAGACCTCGCCAAAGTCTCCTGCGCGGACCAGAGGTCAAAGGTTACTAGCCAATTAAAGGAACGCTCACACAAAGTGCAGATTTTGACCTCACTGTACCGTATACTTAAATAATTGGTGTGAAAACAATATTCACTCAGAAATTGCTAGTAAATTTTACAAAGAAACAGAAAGTGAAGTGAAGTATTTAGTATTTTCATTTTCCAATCATCTTTGGTTACAGTGTATAATTACTATACAGATAGATATATTTAACTAAAAGAAAAAGTAAAAAACGACACAAGATTCTTTACATTTATATATGATCTGATGGTTTTCTGGTAGACTGATATTTTTCTTCCTCCGTGTTTCTAGGGTTTCCAGCATAAATATTTATTCTTAAATCAAGATGGAGAATCAACATAACTTTAGATATTAAGTCGTGTTCATGAGAATGAAGTGAGTTTGTGCTTAAAACAAGAGCAAATATCATCTTAAAATTTCATTAGAAAAATCATCTTGAATGAGGTTTATTTTCATTCCCTTTATTTCCCTGATTTTCAATATCTTACTATCTTCAGTCATGTTGCTTCTGCAGTAAATGTTTCTTGATTTAAGAATCTTTAGATATTTGAGCTGGAAAACGAGACATGATTTTTTTTGTCAGAGTTAGATCTCATGACACAAACATACTAAATAAAACTGTGGTCCATAAAGTGGTTCAAACCAATACGATACGTTCAATTAAACGATGAATGTTGCAAACACACATTGCGAGCGCAAGTCTTGCAGTGCACAGTATTGTGTGTTTCCGAAGTGATCGCACCTGTGTGGACGATCCTCTCGATCTTGATGCTGGAGACGTCCAGCTCTTTGGCGAAGGCATGCACAGCCTGGAGGAGGTCTTCACACGTCTCCGGGTCAATGTAGGTCCGCCTGGTTGGGATTTTAACTGAAATGTAAGAAAAAGTTCTCATTAGTGCTGCTTAGGGATGGGTATCGTTAAGGTTTTATCGGTATTACTATTCTTACAGATACCGCTTATCGATACGGTACTTTAACGGTATTCTTATCGGTTCTTTTTGGTGTTTTTTATTATTTATTTATTTGAAGAATTAAGAACATAATTAAACTGTATATTTTGAAATGTAAAATAGAAAAAGCAAAACGAAGAAAAATATATTTTTGTTATGCAGCAGTGTGCAGGCTTTTTTTGTTTATACAAAAAGGACACATAAGAAAAAAACAAGTACAAACACAAGAATACAATTAATCAAAGATACAAATTATATACAAAGTGCTTTAATTTCAGGAAGGTCTACTAACATATCTTTTCAGGTAATTGTTTCTGTCTGAAAATCAAATATAAAATAGCACTGTATAGTTTATCATAGATAGAATAATGCTTATTAAATCTAAAGTTACTCATTCAAAAGCTGTGAGTGATTTTCTCTGCCTTTTGATGTTTGATTTGCATTAATGGCTGAATCGTCAGCAGGTTTAGGCTATTAGACTGCTGCCCCTTTAAGACCGAGTGCAGATAATGGGGACTGATGCACCATCATTTTCTCCCTATTATTTACGTCCATTTAAGACATTGTGTTTAAGTGAATAAACTCTGTTTAAGTGAATCTCAGAGCTGGTAATTTTGACATTTGTATGTATATTTGATAGTTAAGGACGCACGAAGCCCAAGTATAGGCTATACTTTTCTTGTCTCGTTGCAGTCCGTTTCGGAGCGCGCACCGCCTTGTGAACAGCGTCTCTTGCGCAGGTTTTTGTGTTTTTAATAGCCATTTTCTTGATCTTGCAACAGTAGAAGACAGCATTTTGCAAGAATCGCCGATCGTGCTGATTCTGATGGTTACGTTTGGGTTTTAGGAAGAACTGACAGCGCTCTGGCAGTGCTGTGAAGTAAAGGAAGTTAAGCTGGACAGATCGTCTCGTTTTTTAACGGTTTTATCTCAAATATCTTCTTTTTATATCTTCTCTCTCTCTTCTCGCTCTCTTCTGAACTGCGAATTTCAAATTTGCATCACAGACAAATGGTTTAATTAAAATATAGTTTATAAATAGAAATGGCTGGCAAAATAAACATGTTCAAGATAACGTCTTTATAGGAATAATAAGTAGCCCAACTAACGTCCGAGCTTAACGATACAGCGGTCTTTCAAAATTCAGTAGGCTACCTGGGCCCGTTTAATACCGGGTTTCGGTACCCATCCCTATATGCTCACTAAATCAAGGATCACTATTACTTAAGCGAGTAAAAGTTCAGTATTGTGTAGGCCAGACAAGTGATTTAGAGATGTCAATTTGTAAAGAAAGACACATATATATAAAACACATAACCTAGCCTACAGACCGAACTTTAATATGCAAATTCATGTTTTTGAAGTTTACACAGAGATGATAACATTTTTAAGTTTCAAAACTTGCACCTTGGATCCTGTTTTCGAAGTGTGTGTTCTTGAGCACCAAACACTGCTATCGTGTAAAGGAACGGCCGAACGTATTAAATATTTTTCTGTCTTCTGTACAGCGGTGTCAGCGGAAGCTAAGGTAATCTCACTAATGATCTTTACAACGGAAGTGAATCAATCAAAACTAACTTTATCTGGAAAATAACTTTATTCTAGATCTGCTGTAAAGCCTAAACACTCTCTGTTACTGTAATCTCCTGTTATCACTGTAAAGCTGCTGTGAGACACCTGTTACTGTTACAGCGCTGAATAGATGAAGGAGACTTATTGATGAAATGGGTGAAAACTCCCACAGCCCTTATCTAGGCCTACACATCTAGACATTTCTATCAGATTGTGACTGTACACACTGTTATTCTGCAGTGATGTAACCTGAACTGACTGTCTCATACGATAACCGAGATTCGCTGTCGGTGTGGAACGAAGACGGAAATATACATCACAACATCTCAAAACACGAGAGAACACGAGCGGAAAGAGGCATTCTGGCGTCCATGCGTGTGCGGTGTGTGAACGTGCGGAGGCTAACTCACGCTGTGCATTAAAACGAAATCTTTGTGTGTTTTCGTGTTTTTATATTTAGGCTATGTACATTGTAGGTTCTTTGTGTGTAGTACGCATGTTGAAACACAAGCAACACAACGTTCCCCATGGGGATTATGCTGAAGTCGAGTCACGACACTGTCGGAGGATAAACCAACATCCTCATTCAGTTAAACACTAGAACAGTATTGTGGCGCTGAGTAATGGACAAGCACTACTAAAATATATAATCGAGTTATATACAGTATACACTAATATAGTGCATATAGTTCTCTTTCCTAATCTAGTTGTCAAATAAACCTGCTATTGTTACAAATACATATTTGCAAGTCACTTATTTGGATTAGAGCATCTGCTAAATGTATGGATGAACATATAGACAGTATAATTATTAGATTGATTTACTTATTTGCATTTATTGAAGAAAAAAAATCAGGAATAAAAATATTTTTTTATGAATGCACAGTATTCTGCTCGTCCAGGTCCAACCCAGATCGGGAGCGAACACCCGCCCGGATCGGGAGCGAACACCCGCACGGATCGGGAACGAACACTCGCCTGGATCGCTCCCGAACACTCCTACAGATCGGGAGGGAGAGAGGGAGGGAGGGAGCAAGCGAACGAACGAACGAACGAACGCACGAACGAACGAACGAACGCACGAACACACACACACACACACACACACAGAGACAATCCCACATATACTCTCACACACAAAAACACAACACACAGCGACATATCCCACATACTCTCTCACACACACAGACAAACACACACAGACAGACAGACACACACCGACTAGTCTCGCGTAGCCAGACCTTCAGACTGACGGCTGAAGGTCTGGAATTCATAGCAGTTTTCTTTGGCCAAGGCCCACCCATAAGGCCGGGCGTGGAAATGTCCCCACAACAACAGACCGGCGTGCAACAAGTCAGTCAGCAGCAGTCACCGGAGGCGCTCCTCCTCATATATGGATAAATAGATTAACAACGCTCCACGTTATTAAATTCACCCACGAACTCGCGCTCATGTCCATCTTATGCCCGCTTTGTCACACGGCCAGTTCAACCTCGTATAAATCAGGTTATGTGTGTAAATCACGTGCCCACTCACAAAGCGCGCTGCTCGTGCATCACAGTATGTTCATAAAGCGCTCCCCGTTCACAGTAACCGGGTCATCTCCAGCTGTAGCTGTCAGCGAGCCGCCGCACATTGAATACTCACATGAGTCAGGCTGCGAATGTAAGTTACGTCCCCGCCCCAGCGCGCTCACGTCTACTAAATAAACGCCTCACCTCCGGCGCCGCGTACTCGCTACATTCCCTTTAGCCTTTAGCACATCTAGTGGATGCATAACGCAAACCCAGTCAAACGTTTGACTCTGCAGTATCGTATGTGCCTTATAATCCAGAGCGCCCTATATTTGAATACTGAATCGGCCAGCTGCGATGTCAGCGTCTGTTGTTTCATGTTTGCCCACAAACGCGGCTGATATCCCCTTCGCGGTTTGGTCCTTCACTTGATCTTCCATAATAGATAGAAGGGGACATACAACTACGTTTAGCTGATCTTGACACATGCTCTTTGTCACTCATGTAAACACAACAGTTTTTCTTCCGCAATCACACGTCTGTGCTTTGTTTCCCGGCGGACTGAAAATAAACGCGACACTGACGCCCCCCGGAAATCCGATAAAATTCAACCAATCAGATGATGACTTCGACATTCCTGAAGTGTTTCCAGTTAAGTGTACCATATGCATCAGACGTTTAGCCAACGTTCCGTGGGCTAAACGTGTTCCGTGTATGCATTTTTTAATCAAGTCATTGATTTGTCACTTACGCTACAAGCCCCATATTAGCAACATGTTGGGTCACGCCACCATCAACAGTGCGAGACATAACGTGCCTGCATTCTGACAGCGCTTAATGAAGACTAGCAGCTAATCACTGGATATACTACTGTAACTAACAGGTAAGTAAGTTGGTGATACTTGAAAGCATAACATTAATTGAAATGATAAGATCATATTAGTTATCTTCTGACTCAGTTTAATGTGTAAGAATGTGTTGTCGACATAGAGTGAGTTTAGTTAAGCAGCGCCGCTGCTGTTATTTTTGCAAACTTGTATGATTATCTGGCTGGCTAGCGCTAGACAGTTAGTTTAAGTCAATTCCAATGTGTCACTTAGGGTACAGGCACTAACTGAAGCGTTCCGTTCACGACGACACGTAAAATCCCCTTTAGACTAATCTGGTCTATTTTTTTTCCCTTCAAACGCACGTCTAGTGTAGCCTAGCTACTTCCATTGATTATAGTGGAAGCTACACTCTTAGGAAAAAGGGTTCTATAATGTAGCATAGGGTTCTTTCCTCAAAGGACATTTTATGCTAAAAAAGGTTCAATAATGACAAGAAAGAACCCTTTTGGCTCAAAGTTTTTTTAAAGGCTATTATCCATTCATATATTACATTATTCTGCAACATTTGTAGTTGTTATTAAATTATTGTTTATTAAACTGTTGTAGTAACTTAATATCACATTTTAATCATGCAGATTTTTTGAGGATAAAAAGTGAAATGGCACTCTTTGTCTGATATTGATTAATTAAATTTTTTAACCACCATATCTTGAATTTTGTGATCATTCACATGCATTGCATTTTAGGTTTTCCAAATAGGTAATGCTTTAGAACCTTTTAAGGTTCTATATTGAACCTTTTCTTCTAAGAGTGTAATTGTTACAGCAGACACAAAGCGAACAGAACATTTCAGGGTAACACTTTAGAATACGGTTCCTTCGTTAATGAATAACTACACAAGAACCAATGAGTAACACAATATTAACAATCTAGTAACTATTATTAACTAACAAGAAACTCTGATTAACAAACTAGTAAGTAATATCACATAGATGAAAGTGG